GAAGATCCCGGGTCGCGATGCTGTTTTGTACGGCAAAACGTTTGGTGATCAACGTGGTGCAAAACTCTGGTAAGGCCGTTCAGTCTTGGGCTCCAAGTCTGGTTCAGGACTCCCAAACACTAGAACAGGTCCAACGCAGGTTAACTCTTATTATCCCTGGTATGCCAGGGTATGAAAGGCTAAAGAGAATAAACTTATTCTCCTTACAACAGAGAAGACTACGTGGTCACTTGGTCGAGGTATATAAACAAATAAAGGGGAGCTCGGTCAGCAGCAGGGTTCTCCTCAGATGCAGTGAAAACTCGGCTCTCAGGGGTCACGAGTGGAAATTGATGAAGCAAAGGGCTCTCAGAAGCATCAGAGCAAAGTTTTTGCTCATAGAGTAACTAACCCTTGGAATAAACTGCCTAAAGAGGTGGTCGCAGCAACAACGTTAGCCCAATTTAAGTCCAAGCTAAGCGAAAATCGGGCGGTGGTATTCCCAGAAGTAGCCGTATACTCGGAGATGTTTTATCCACGGTCTGGCTGTTCTGAAGCTCGGCGTGCTCTATCTCTTGTATCTCTCACCGTATGTTCCTGGGTGTACACCACGATTAACAACTGACTGACAATAAGCCTGTGGGAGGCATGACGGTGTGCATTCAAGCAGACATGTATTGCTGACCCTGCATAGGTGGAATGAGCATCACGGTATAAAGTACTGTCCTCCGAAATTTGCCCAAGCCTTACGAAGGTCAGGGGAGACAGATGAGGACGGTGAGCCCCATGTGTACTTCCTATCAGAAAGACTGTGAGACCAAACGGTTGCAGGGATGCTGATGCGCCCGTGGTAGAAGACCTGTAGTGAGCGGAGTTGGGGACGACAAACCGAAGTACAACTCACGGAGCAGTCCACTTTTCCGATTGAGTGGCAACCCTGTAACTCCCGAATAGATCAACGAGCGATGCGTAGCCGAAATTGGATCCCAAAGCGTCAACAAAACGAACGATCCGGCAAATTTCCACGGTACTGCATTA